CTTGTCCCTGGGTTGGTTAACACCTCTTCCCTTCCCCCCACCTCCCCCTCTCCCATGTCCCCCTGGAACTGTCAGTCCCGTTGTTTTTTCCTCCAGATTGCTCATCCAGCCTGTCCTATCCAGGCAGGCCTGGGCTGTCGCTCTTTAATGGAGTAAAAAGCGTGGCATTATTCCTGCGGAGTGACTGGTGGGTTTGAACTGTTGACCTTGTACTTAGCAGCCCAATACTTGATCACTATGCTACCAGGGCTCCTTTTCATTCCTGGTATGGTAGATTAAAATGCCCAGTGCCACTGTTTCAGTTCACTAATGCCTAAGCTACCAATCTTCAGTTCCATTTCATTTTTCACAACATTTTCTAGATGCGTACTTGTGACATTCCATAGCTGTTGCTTCTCTTTTTGAATTGTGCTACATCATGACGCAATGTTTTTATTCTGTTCAAGTCATTAATGTTGGCTGTGAGGTAGCATTGACTTGATGACAGTGAGTTTGGTTTGATATTGAGGAAGTGCCTTCCCCTGCAGTGGCGTAGTGGGTTATATACCTTGGCAGGTCAAAACCACCAGCTGCTCCATGGGAGAAAGACAAGGCTTTCTATTCGAGGAAGGAGTTGCAGTCTTGGAAACCCACAGGGCAGTCCTGCCCTGTGCTGTGAGGTCGCGGTGAAGTGGAAGTGACTCGATGGCAGTGAGTTTGGTTTTGTATTCCAACCCGAAGGGCTCCTCTTCCAGCACTCTATCCGACCGACCGTGTGCAGCTGCTGCTCCTAAGGTGTTCACTGCCTAACGCTTGTAGAAATAGATTGCCAGGTTGATATTCGATGATCAAGGACCAATGGTATTTAAGGAAGAAGCTTAAGCTATACTGGAGGCAGTGGGGAAAAACCAGGCTCCAGGAATTGCCAAAATACCGATTTAGATGTTACAACAAATGGATGTGATGATGGAAGCACTTAATTGCCTCTGCCAAGAAATATGGACGACAGCTCCCTGGCCAGGACACTGGGAGAGATCCATCTTTGTGCCTCTTCTGGAAAAGATGACCCAACAAAATGTGGAAATTACTGAACAAAATCACATGCAATTAAAATTCTCCTGAAGAGAATTAAATGGTTGCAGCAGTACATTGACCAGGGGTCTGCCGCAAATTCAAGTGAGATTCAGAATAGGGTGTGGAACAAGGGATAGCTGTTTTGATGTGAGATAGATTTGGCTGGAGCAGATAATACCACATATACAAAGGTATTTGTGTGAATTATAAGCAATTATGGATCGTAATGCAAAAATAGCAATTCCAGACCCCTGGTTGTACTCTTGTGGAAACTGACAGTCCAGGATGCAGTAATTCAAACTGAAGAAGAAACACTATTTTAACAGGAAAGGTGTGCATCAGAATTTTAACCTTTTACCACCTTTATATTCAGTCTGCTTGGCAAACAGTTCAAGTGAACTATGTAAAGAAGTCAGAATGCTCCTCGGAAGTGAGGATGGCAAGCTTTTGTGCCACGTCTCATGTGGCTACGTTGTCAGGAGGGACCGTTGACTGGAGAAAGACACTATGCTTGGTGAAGGAAAGAGGGTCAGCGAAAGAGAAAGGCTGTCAAGGAGGTGGTTGCAACAATAGACTCAAAGCAACAGTTGTGAGGATGGTGCAAGACAGGCAGGAGTTCATTGTTCTGTTCTACATAAACTGGCTACGCATCAATTGATTTGATGGCGCCGAGTAATATCCCGTTTAAGGACGTTGGTGGGACAGTGGTTAAGAATTGGACTGCTAACAGAAAGGTCAGCGGTGTGGACACACCAGTACCTCCCATGTATCCCATGTCTACAAAGATGTGTCCATGTCTACAAAGATTACAGCCTTGGAAACTTGTAGAACTCTTCTGTTCTATCCTCTAGGGCAGAGGTTCTCAACCTTCCTCAGGCCGCGACCCTTTCATACAGTTCCTCGTGGTGGTGACCCCCTCCCCACCATAACATTATTTTCATTGCTACTTCATAACTGTCATTTTGCTACTGTTATGAATCTGGTGACCCCTGTGAAAAGGTCATTCTGTCCCCAAAGGGGTCGCGACCCACAGGTTGAGAACCGCTGCTCTAGGGCTTCTACCAGATACAACATGTTATTAACCCAATTTAGTATCCATCAAAGTTTTTTATTTTTCCAAACCCTGGACATTATCTTCAAGCCTGTAAACCACAAATCAATTACTAAGTTAAGTTGAAATATTCTCAACTTTTGGTCAGACTTTCACCAGTTCCCATATTTTTTCAATTTAACCTTAGCTCTTCTAAGATTTTGCCAACTGAAAGAAAGAAAAAAAAAAAGACTTTGCCAACTGGTTTTGAACTCAAATTTTCTGTTCATGTCAGCCACCTTCGGGATAGGAACATTTTCTAAGTCATTATGGGGCAGCTTTTTATTGTGATTTTTATCTTTTAAAACTTTCTCTACATTAGAGAACTTGTTTATGGTGATCATGTGGGGGTCTGCCCCATTTCTGATATCTCTATTGAGGTAATGTTTGTCTTACTTAAATTTGTCAGTGTCTGTCTGATCCTTATTTTTGTATATCATTAAAGGATATCAACTCTGTCCACTCTGTTCACAGGAGTCCCTCAATACTTGTGTCTTTATTAATCTCTTGGTAATCCATTTAACCTTACTTTCTATTAAAAAAACCTTTTCCTTAATTCTGTAAGAAAAACTCTTCAAATCTTAGCTAGCCTTTCTAACTTTTTAAAAAGCTTCTAGGTTTCCAGCTTAGTTTTCCTATACTTCTCTCTCTTTCCTTTTTTCTGCCCATTCTAGAACAACCAGTCTTCATTTTAGGACAAATTACCCAGCCTAGCCTAAATTACTCTGAGTGAAATTGGAAACTTTTTTTTAATTAATTTCTCAGGATATCAGGAATATTTATTTCTGTGAACACTTATTTATCTTTAAACTAATCAGAATAAAGAGAAGTAGGACACTTGTTTTCATAAGCCTGTCTTCACGTCTTAAGGACTCTTTAGAGAATTTAGAATACATTTTGTCTTAGGAAGCCTGGTTAAACAATTCAAGATAAGCAACTCTTTTCTTCAGTACACTTCAAATTAATTTATATCAAAGTCTTTCAGAGTAGCTATTGAAGATCAAATTTTTTTAGTAAGTTGTGTCATTTAAAGACAGTCTCACATAGGAAGTCGTTATTATTTTGTAATAGGAAAGAATTAAGAATGAATGATCTGGTGAAAACTGGCAAAGCCAGCCTTAACCTTGCTAGTTAATAGTAGGTGAAAAAACCCAAACAAAACAATTAGCTCATAGCCAAACTCTCATGTTAAAATGAGACAGAAAGAACTATCAACTCAACTGCCCTTGTGAGGCTAACTGAAACAGCCAGGCCTTTATTCTGATTCTCCTTTTTATGACAAGCCCAGACTGCATCATTTAAAAAATAAAAAATAAGTCAAACAAGGAACTCAGTTTCCTAAGATGTCTACTGAGGCTCCAAGTTGTCTACCTTCTAAAATAGGATAAAGGAAAATAAGTTTCTAAATCCATAATATTGCAACTTGTCAGTGTTTTATGTATCAACGCGTTACCTTAAAACAGCTTCAGTCTGACCTTGGAGTTTGTTTCTGGAAACTTGACTGTTGCACAAGATGAGTTTCCCAAAGAGCACAAGGGCTCAAAAGTGACTTACGAGACCTGTTTGATTAAGGCTCAAGATCTAGAGATTGCTTGGATTAGGAGGTCTAGATGGAAGATCCAGAAATCTGGATTCCATGAGAATTAAATGATGTCTCACGATTAAAGGTAGAGACCCTTTAAAGGCATTTGCTGGGTTACCTGGCCATGACTAGAGAGCCCTCGCTGTGCCTTGCCTTTGTCGCTGGCAGATGGCTTTATTCTGATGAGCTGTGTTTGCCTTTCAGAGGTACATGGAGGTCAGTGGGAACCTGAGGGATTTGTATGACGATAAGGATGGGTAAGTGACTGTCACAGACAATCCAGGAATTGGTACCTCGGAGGAGCCACGGTTCAAGGACTGACGTTATGTTCTTTGCTCTTTGGATTTTTTTCCTGAAACAGGTTACGAAAGGAGGAGCTCAGTGCCATTTCAGGACCCAATGAGTTTGCCGAGTTCTATAATAGACTCAAGCAAATAAAGGAGTTCCACCGCAAGCATCCCAATGAGGTATGGACCATCTCAACGTTCGCCCCCGTCTATCCAAAGAGCGTACGAAAGAAAAGCATGTAAAGAAATGGAGATGTGCCACGTAGCTGCCCCTTCGAAAACAATTGTCATTTAGCTAAAACAGAGGGGTCGGTGTGGAGTGTGTTTGTCGGAGCACACGGGTAATCAGGTATGGAACGGATAAAGAACCCGGAAAGACCGCCGTAGCAGATCAAGTGCATCTGAAAGGCTAGCAGAGAAAGGGAGAAGAGAAAGGGGAGTGATAAGACGTATAAAGAAGATGTAGCTAGATAGAAGAACAGACAGAAAAAGGAAGAGGCTGGAACGATCACGAGGTCTCATTAATCAAGAGAGAACACCTTGTTCCAGCCCTGGTAGAGAGGTCATGAGGTAAAAATGGGTCAGGGAATAATTGGATGGCATGCAGGTTAAGTAAACAAGGAAAGCAAGTCCATTTATGCGAAAAATAAAATCCAAACCTTTTTACTTTGTGCATATAAGGGGTGTGCATGTATATTAAATAAGTAGACTTTGTCGTGCATCGGACTCACCTGCTGCTCTGATTTGATTGATAGGAGATGTGGTGTGACTGATGGTCAGGGTTTTCTTAAATTGCCCTGGTGATCTCATGTGCAACAAAGCTTGGGCACCCTGGACACAGACGCATGTCTGGGTGTGTTTAGTCTAGGCTGTTAATAAGTAGTTTTTCCTTTCAGAGAGACTAAGGAAGCTTTTCTGTTTTCGTTATCTTTTTTTGTATTAAGTTTTATGAGTATGTGTTACTTTAGCAATTTTTAGTTCATACCAAAAGGGGAAAGAATAAAAGCAAAGTGATTGGAAAAGAGTAGTGTGTTCCTGTTGAGAAATCACTGCTAAATAAAGCACCAGCAGTCCCATTCTGCTGACATTACAGTTCTGGTGTTTCATGGTCCTCCTAAACTCTTGTTTCAGATCTGTGTGCCCATGTCTGTGGAGTTTGAGGAGCTCCTGAAGGCTCGAGAGAATCCCAGTGAAGAGGCCCAGAGTAAGTAGGAGTGCATTAGCATTCCGTAGCACAGACAGAAGCACAGGCTTTTTTGCCCTTTGAGTGCTGGAAAGCAGGGCTCCATTATTTTCTTGTAAAACGTTCATTGTGTGCTAGCCTGATTCAGACTCACTGGCCCAGAGAGCCCAGGCCAGTTCACTACAGGAGGACTGGGAGGGGGGTGGTGGTGTGTGTGTCGCATTTTGGTGAAGAGTTGCTTTATGGAGCAAGGAGTCCGTTTGAAAAGGCCAGTCCAAGAAAGTGGTCTTTAGTATCTGAATCATTGATGTCTCTGATCCCTTCAGACCTGGTGGAGTTCACAGATGAGGAGGGATATGGTCGGTACCTCGATCTCCATGACTGTTACCTGAAATACATTAACCTGAAGGCGTCTGAGGTAAGGTGGGAGGGAAGGCAGGTCTGAAGCAGGGTGCTGGGCTGGGGCTGCTGCACGTGAGGCGGTTCCAGAGCGTTGTGTGTTCTGAAGAGGCGGTCTGCTATGGAACGACACCGCATTCAAAGTGAAGATCACACTTCTGTAATGAAGACACCGCGCATTAATGCTTTTGTAAAACTGATTTTAAAAAGCCACTAGTACATCTCTTGACCTTTGTGTTATACTCACAGTGCTACAGACATAGAAGGACTGTCTAAAAGGTGTAACTAAGATGTTAGGAAAAAATGACTTCTAAGAGACGACACTCCCAGAAAGGGCACAAGGAAGTATATGATTAAGTTTCTCATGGACTTGTGAGGAAGTAATCTGAGAAATTCAGGGGGCGTCCTTTAGATTCTCCTAAGAGCAGGTCCTTGGGCGGTGTTGTTTTCTGCTACGTCCCGGTACTGGTATCGGGTGCACAGATGCGCAGTAAGTGGCTGTGTGAGCAGAAAATGGCACCTTTCAGATCTTTAGGATGTAACGGATGCCAAAGTCCTTAAACAAGTGCCAGCATTCAGTAAGTTTCAGTACGTGTTGACTTTCCTTTACTGGCCATGAACTTAACTTATGCTTTGCAAAGTTAACTGTGGATGTTAGTCTTCTCAGTCCAGTGGGATTCAAACCACAATTAATATAGCATTTGAATGATGGGAAATAAAAAGTGGGCCCGGCCTCATTGGTTTATTAAGGAGCACTCCATTTTGATCTCATTGATTGACGCTGCTCTTGTGATTGGGTTTTGTGTCATCTCTTTGTAGAAGCTGGATTATATCACATACCTGTCTGTCTTTGACCAGTTGTTTGACATTCCAAAAGAAAGGAAGAATGCGGAATACAAAAGGTGGGTACTGATCGTTCTGAAGCCTCTGCTCAGTTGTTAGAAACTTAGTTTGTGTGAAGGGTAGGGACCAAGTTCTGAATTTGGTTAGCTGAAGGACAGAAACAAGGTCCCAGTTCATCTGCGTATAGGGCACCTGTTCGTGGTGTGTCTTTGGAGTTCAAAGGAAGAACATGACACGCCCTCAGATTGTGATGGCAGTGAGGTGCCTGGGTCTGATGTGTAACTGGGAAGTTAAGTCTGTTAGTGTCCCAGGGTGCTGATCTGCACTCCCACCTGCTTCTCCTTTGCAGGTTTTCTTTTACTTGAAATCTTGTATGTATAGAATTAATTAAAATTTCAGACTGGAATCGGGTCATGAGGGTGGAAAACGGCAAGAAAAGGAGAAGTCCAAATTGCAGTGACATTTTTGGGGGGTGGGGGAGGAGACCAATTGCGAGCTCTTTTTTTTTTTTTTTAATCAATTTATTGGGGCTCATACAATTCATCACAATACATAGATCAATTGTATAAAACACATCTATACATTTGTTGTCCTCATTATTCCCAGAATTCGCTTGCCTCTTGGGTTCCCGGAATCAGCTCATTTTCCTTTTTTTCCCCCTCCCCTTCCCTTCCTCCTCCCCTCTCCCCCAAGAGCTCTTTAAAAACAAGTAATACTGGGATTAAAAATAGATTTCACAGTCTATAACAGTGTAGCAACTTTGGGAAACTGCTCGCTCTCTCCTGCCTGTCCCTGTACAGATACCTGGAGATGCTGCTTGAGTACCTTCAGGATTACACAGACAGGGTAAAGCCACTGCAGGACCAGAACGAGCTGTTTGGGAAGATTCAGAATGAGTTTGAGAAGAAGTGGGACAACGGCACCTTTCCGGGATGGCCGGTGAGCTTCAGCGGAGGTGTGGGTGGGACGGGACTGACTTGATGGTGAGCCTCACTCTCCCTGTCAGGAGCGTTAGCTGTTGAGCCCCTCAGTATCGCTTGTGGCCACGAGGTGTTCTCTGCCAGGTATGCAAGGTTTTCTCTTTGTGCTTTGGAACAAGGTTTGCAGGACCCACTTGCTATAAACCGGACCTAGGATTTTTGCCAGCCATGTTATTTCTGCTGTATGGTTCCTGTGGGCCCAAACCTGATCAGATGACATGTTAGAAATCTCTACTATGTATCTTGACTCTTGGGGATACGCTTGGGTGTTTACAGAGCCCTCAGAGAGATAATGGGCCACCTGGATTGTATTTTTCTCCCACGCCTGCAACAATTTGATCCTTATTCATCACTGGTTCTATGAAAGGGCCCGTCCAGCTGGCAGTTTAGTTGATTACCTTACCTTCGTCCTGGATCTCAGTAACTGTTACACATTGTTTTTCTACCAGAAAGAGACAAGCAGTGCCCTGACCCATGCCGGAGCCCACCTTGACCTCTCTGCTTTCTCCTCCTGGGAGGTAGGTTTCCTCTAGCCATTGCACTGAGCTCATCTGCCCCGCCTTTCGAGCGACCACTCGCTCTCTTGATTGTAATGCCATGCTTATATTATGATGAAGACACCAGTTTCTGGGGCCAGATACTTGCAAAGAATGTGGGAAGGTGCTTTGAAAACCGTAGTGCCACTAATGGCATTCAGCTGTGGTGGAGGTGAGGCGAGTACCAGTAGGGCTAAGTGTGAGGTTGACCAGCAGGCCAGTTCTTCTATGAGGTTGAACGGACGACTGGGAGATTGGCTGTGGAATGTAAACCTCTGCCATCGCCTCTGGCACACCCACATCCACTCAGCAGCTTGAGGAGACCTGGGTTTGAGTACTTGCATATGCAATGTGTCCCCTCTTTTCACAGGAGTTGGCCTCCCTGGGTCTGGACAGATTGAAATCTGCACTCTTGGCATTAGGCCTGAAATGCGGCGGGTAAGTGCTGCTGTCCCTGTCTTGGGTCCTGGGAATGTGTGTCGGCGCCTTTGTGAGAGGGGGCAGGTTTATGATGCACTCACCTCGAGACACTCTGCTCTCCTGTCTCTAGGACCCTCGAAGAGCGAGCCCAGCGACTGTTCAGCACCAAAGGGAAGTCCCTGGAGTCGCTTGACACCTCTCTGTTCGCCAAAAACCCCAAGTCCAAGGGCACCAAGCGGTGAGTGGCTGAGGTGACACCTCTGTGGATGTCTTTTTATTTTATACTCAAGCAGAATTTTTTTTTCCACAACAAAGATTGTAAAGCCAATTTGATTATCATTTTGGACCTCTGTAGATATAGCTCCAGTCTGCTCTGTGTTTCTGCTCATGACAGAACCCTGGCACTGTTCATCCAAACCAGGAACACACTGTCCTCAGGTGATCTCGAGTCTGGGGTCTCGGGTGTTGAAACCATGTGTAGGGCACTTCTCATCACCTCAGTAGACTTTGGAAACTAAACATCTAAATTGTTAAACATACTTTTTTAAAAGTTTACATTTGTTAATGACCACTGAATGTATTCATGTGCCACGTACTCCTATAGGACTTTTCCCCCTGATTCTCACAACCCTGCTTGTTACACAGATAAAGACACAAAGTTTATAGGGTGCATTCATTGTATCTCAATTGCTTAGCAGCAGGGCCAGGATATGGGCCCAAGGCAGCCTGGTCCACAGCTCCTCTTTTGTTGGCAGACTGTGATGATGGGCATTTGATGTTGTTGATAGCTCTTGAGCTTCTCGAGTGTGGTCGGAGAGAGGGTACTGCCACACATTCTGAGGACGAGCCTCAGTATTTGTTAGCAGGTCTTGAGCGGAGCAGAGCACTTGCTTCCAGGCTGCTTTTCATTTGAACGTGACTGGAACAGTGCCCAGATGCGGGGCAGGGGCGGGTGAAAGAGCCTTGAGTGATAACACTCGTTTCTCGTTTCTCAGAGACACTGAGAGGAACAAAGACATCGCTTTCCTTGAAGCCCAGGTCTACGAGTATGTGGAGATTCTCGGGGTGAGTGAAAGCTGGAAGGTGTGGGGGTGGGATTGATGGGAATCCCCCAAAGTAGGATGTTTACTTAGGGACTGGAAGGGAAAGGACTGCGCATTAAACGAGTGGGGCAGTCAATGGGTCCGTGTCCCTCAGCAAGTCACTGTTCTCTTAGCTGTGTTCCCAAGCTTGCTGCCTTTCTGTGAGGCCAGAGATTTCTTTAGGGGCCTGCCATAGAGAATGGGCTCCCTTCTCAACATAGTGTCCAGAATTGTGCCTGAGCTCCAAATGTTGAGACAGCCAGGAAGCAGACACTCAAAAGGAAAATAGGAGAGAGGCTACCCCGTGGCCTTTTGAGTCTGACCTATTATGAGAAGCCATCACTTGCATGTGTAGACAATTGTAGAAGGCCATGTGCTAGGGGTGTGAAGCTGGCTGTGAGCTGCTCTTTGAATAAGCTCAGCAAGGAGCTAAGGGCTGGGCTGGGAAACGACCTAGCCTGGCTAAGATATCGTAGGAAGAAGGCAGGCAGAGAGCGTGTGAAAGAAAGGGCCCTGCTCAGTGGAGGCGCTGGCTGGTGGCTCAGGGAGCCCTGGAGTGACCAGTTTTCCGGTGGCGTCTGCTTTGACGTGCCCTGAGCCGGTCCCCTTGCAAGTGCTCAGGAGGTATTGGAGTGGGTGGCTCAGGCACCAGCTCCTAAGACGTTCACCTATCTGTCCATTGCCATGGGTGTGGTCCTGCCCTTGGCTGAAGGACAGACCCTCTGCGGCAGTGGTTCTCAACCTTCCTAATGCTGCCACCCTTTCATACAGTTCCTCATGTGGTGGGCCCCCCCCCAACCATACAATTATTTTTGCTGCTGCTTCATAACTGTAATTTTGCTACTGTTGTGAATTATCATGTACATATCTGGTATGCAGGATGTATTCGGTGACCCCTTTGAAAGGGTCGTTCGACCCCCAAAGAGATCATGACCCACAGGTTGAGAACCGCTGTTCTAATGACTATCCAGTTAACCACCTGTTGGTTTCCCCTGTTGGGACTGCTTTCAGTTGAAGGAGACTAGCCAGGTGTTCATTTCTAGCACTCAGATTCTCTGAGTCACCCACCCAGCAGTCCCATGAGAGAAAACCCAGCTCCTCCTAAACGTTACAGCATGCCCTCTGGGGCAGCTCTGCTCTGACCTGTACAGTCATTCCGGACCAACTGGACGGCACGCCACAGTCTGTCGTCCACAGGGAACCTGGGCTGTGCCAGGGCTGGCAACTCAGCGTGGCAGGGAGGGTAATTTACGCCCTTGACATATACCCTCTGTTGCTTGTTTAGTTTTGTGCTTGAGAGCCTTTTGCTCTCCCTGCCGCAAGGTGGCACTATTCTCTTAACATTGGCTTGCATTCTATACTGATAGGATTTTTGTCACTGTTTCACCAGTTACTGCTAGCTGTTGGCATGCAAGCATCATGCTAGATGTTTAAGTACAACAGTGTGAATGACAGTCTGTCGCCCTTGCAAAGACCACCTTCTAGTTGGGGGAGACAGACAAGATCATTGCAGTAATAGGGTGGCACAGGCTTGAGTTCCTAGCTAGGGGAACCAGCCAGTGCAAAGGGGCAGTCTGCTCCTGCACTCAGGAACTAGTGAGAAATGTGGTGTGAGAGTCAGGATCACCATTTGTTGTGTGAGCAGCAGGAAAGGACGTCACTGTGAGGGGGACTTCAAGTCCAAGGACAAATGGAGTTCAAAAATGAGTTTTTTCTTGAGCTTTTGAAGCCCCACGGGAGCAGTTCTGCACACCGTTGAGTGCGCCACTCAAGGTGCCTCTTTAAGCAGAGGCTCTGGAGCAGACTGGGAGCTGCTGGCACGGGAGAGCCGAGGACCGGTGTGAGGTGGTCATCTTGGTGAGGGCGATGACAATAGAAAGGAGAAGCAAGGCCTGGTTTGGGAAACAGTTTCCAAACAAGACAGATGAGACTTGACTCTCGTGCTCGGTGGGAATCTGAGTGGCAAGTGTGCTAAACACTTGACTGTCTCATGTTGGGCAGGCCAGCACGCTGACAGGGCTTCTGATAGGAAGCAAGAGTGCTCTAAGAAGGGAAACCTTTGGCCTGCAGGCTCACGAAGGGTGAGGAGAAAACAGTAGGAAAGTTCTCCTTCTGGCTCTGCAGTGCTTGTCCTCTGACAGTGCTCTTCCTGTGTGTCCCTGCCTGCCTTAGGAACAGCGCCATCTCACTCACGAAAACGTGCAGCGCAAGCAGGCCCGCACGGGGGAGGAGCGCGAGGAGGAGGAAGAGGAGCAGATCAGCGAGAGTGAGAGTGAAGATGAAGAGAACGAGATCATTTACAACCCCAAAAACCTGCCGCTGGGCTGGGATGGCAAAGTAGGTCCAGACACTGCTACCACCTCTGCCTGCCCCTTCCCCTCCACCCCACTTCCCTCCTTGGAGACCAGAAGCAGTGCAGGTCTTAGCAGGCAGTAGTCTAATACCATTTTTTTAATCTGATTTCTTTCAGCCCATTCCTTATTGGCTGTATAAGCTTCATGGCCTAAATATCAACTACAACTGTGAGATCTGTGGAAACTACACCTACCGAGGGCCCAAGGCCTTCCAGCGGCACTTTGCTGTAAGAGATTCAGAACTGTTTTCCTGGGACTTGAAGTATGAGATGCTGACTTTTTAGGGGCGGTGACAGTAGATTGCTAGTGATCAGAACCTAAAGGAATCACAGGGGAGCAAATCTAAAATCAAGCATTTGGCCGCATGCACTAGGGCTGGTGTTGAAGAATTCCTTCTGCTGTTACTTGAACCTCGTTTCTATTTCCTCTTGTTCTTAGGCTTCTTTTTTACCGACATCTTACACTAGTGTTTTCCAAACTGGGTGATACCTCTCCTGTGGGGTGCCAGAGTGATCTAGGGTATACCAAAGCAGATTCCTACACTTTATCCCACGTTATGGGTTGCAGTACAGAAGTTTTCAATATTCCCAGCAGGCGGTTTGGGGGTGGGAGGCAGGTGCTGAGGTTAAGGGGGCTGTAGGCTCAGTAAGCTCGGGGACCTGTATCTATCACAAATGAGCTGGCTCCTTGGTCTTTCTCAGTGCTGCCCCACGGGTTGGGACGCACGAGGTTGCTAACTGCTTTCCTCTAAGGCTTAGCCGAGTCTTGCCTCTTTGATACGAAGAGCACGGGACGGCATTTACCCAGTCTTCTTGAGACAGATTGGAGGAGATTTACTAGTCCTGGCCTTGCACATTTCTGTGAACTGTCCTCTTGTCCCTCACAACAGAGGTCGCTGCTCTACCCTGGCTCTCCCCTCAGTCCTTGAGCGGCCTCTGAAACTTTTCCCGCTCTCATGAAGCCAGTGTCTCCCTGCTCTCTCCCCGCTCATAGTCTGCAACCGAGTGTCTTCTTTCCTTACAAAGATGAGAGCACACACACACACATACATTACGTGTGCAGGTTGGGGGTTGTGTGTCTGCCGCAGGCTTTCCCTCCGCATGGAGGTGACTGGTCACGGTTGGGTTTTCTGTGATCCTGACCCAAAGTATTGTTCTGGGAGGAAAAAAAAGACTGGTTCTGGGTCCTATAAACTAGCTGGGGGAGGTAAGCGGTGCAGTGTCTTCTGGAAACACGAAGTGTTTGCCAGCAGTGGACAGACCCCATCTGCTCCAGCAGTGCTGCCTTGCAGTCAGGGAGGGGAGAGGAGGCGAGCGATTAGAGTGGGTTTAATGCGGCATGTCCAGCGATTCCCATGTCACCTTACTTATTGGTGTCTCTCTTTTCCCAGGAATGGCGGCATGCTCATGGCATGAGATGTTTGGGCATCCCAAACACGGCGCACTTTGCTAACGTGACACAGATCGAAGATGCCGTCTCCTGTAAGTCAGCTGTATTGGTCCCTAGGCCAGACTGAGTGCCCACTCCTGAAAGCCCAAGAGCAGCAGGTTGTGGGGATGTCAAAACTAGAACACCGTGTTGTCGTTAGGTGCCGTCAGGTCGGTTCATGCTCAAAGCAGCGCTGTGTACAGTGGGAGAAACACCACCTGGCCCTGCGCCCTCCTTGCCGCGCTGTTCTGTAGAGCCCATCGTTGTAACCGCCGTGTCAGTCCGTCTGGTCCAATGTGCGGTTTTCTGCCCCTCTACCAGACGTGACGTCATTTTCCTGGGAACGTGTCTAAGATATGAGGGCGAAGTTGCGCCCGCTGAGGCACGGTCTGGCTACACTTCTTCCGAGACAGATCTGTTCTTTGGGCACCATCATTCGAATACATCGATTCTTCGGTCTTCCTATTCAGTGTCCCACTTTCACATGTGCACAAGGCCGTTGAAAATACCGTGGCTTGAGCCGGGCACGCCTTAGTCCTTAAAGTGCCCTCCTCGCTGGTCAGCACTGAAGGCTTGAGAAGGGTTTTGTGCTGCAGGGTTTCTCAGTGCGCTGCATCGTTTGATCACGTGAGTGTTGCGCCTGTGAGCATCGAATGTGCATCCAAGCAAGATGAAATCTTTGCCACCTTCTGTCTTTTCTCTTGGTCATGCATAATGCTACCCATATAGTGGTCCACCGGTGAGGATTTCTGTTGTTTTTGCATTGAGCTGTAATCTCTACTGAAGGTTGCAATTCTCGATCTTCACCAGCAAGTGCTTCAAGTCCTCCTCACTTTCAGCAAGTAGGGTTGTGGCATCTGCGTATCACATTTGTTGACAAGCCTTCCTCTCGCACTTCCTCGTCTCTTCCGTTTGCCTTAGGTACTCTGTCATTACGGGCAAGTGTGGAGTCTCTTCTGACATCCACGTACATCTTTTCTTTCTCTCCTGTCTCTTTATGGCCTTTTGCTTTCTTCATGTATGGCGTTTGATGTCATTTCACAGCTCGTCACGTCTTCTGTCATTAGAGTTCAGTGCATCAAATCGAAGATGACCTTGAAATCCAGGTGAGGTAATTCAGGGTCGTGTTTGGCTCTCATGGGCTTCATGTTTTCATTTTCTTCATCTTCAGTCTGAACCTCACATGAGGTTCCAGTCAGCCCCTGACCAGGTTGTACTTACTAATAATGGACTTCTCCACTGTGTCTTTCCACAAATCTAGTCAGTTTGATTTCTGTGAGAAGAGATGATCGAGAAGCTCAAATCATTAAATAAAATAAGGCCAGGGGCCACCTGTGGAGCATACCGTCAGTTGATCGTGCACAAGTTCTGGTTAAAACTGAAAACCATTAAGACGTGTCCAGAAGAGCTCTGGACCTGACCATGAGCATATCCGACCTGACTTTAGAGGCCATCCCGAGAGCAGGCTCGACACACTGCACACTGAGAAGAGAAGACTGGGCGGATTGAAGTGGGAGCGGCCATCCAGAGCCTCCGCCATGAGAAAGAAGAAGGTCCCGTCTAGGAGAGGAGCATACTGTGGCCGTGTAAAGAGAGGCGACCCAGCAAAGTGCAGAGCAGTGTCTCCTAGGTAAACCTCGCTGCAGGCCGTTCAGGCGTGGCAGCAGTACATCGACGATAGAGAGCTGCCAAAACTCAGCTGGATTCAGAACAGAGCGTGCAATGAGGAGTACCACTGTTGATGAGAGATGGACCTGGCGTGGAAACAATCCCAGAAAGATCGTTACTTGTGTTTTATTGGACACACAGACATTTGACTCTGCAGATCATCACAAACTGAATGATGTGCTTGATCATGCTCATATGGAACCTGATAGTCTGAGAGATAGTCCTTCGAACAGAACAAAGGACGCTTTTAACACCAGTATCCGGAGCACATCAACAGAAATTGAGCTCGGGAGAACAGAGCTGATGGATGGTGCAGTAGGGCTTGAGGAAGGCCAATTGACGGGAAGATGACACGACCTCGCGCATTGAAAGCCAAAAGGACTTGACCCACTTACATCAAAGCCATCAGCCTTCAGTATGGATTGCAACTCAATGTCATGGAGGCAGAAATCCTCACAATTGGAACTTCATAAACATCATCGTAAGAAATAGAAAAGATTAAAGTTGTGGGCCTCATTTTTCCTGGATTCCTGCACGCAGTGCTCCTTGAAGCAACAGTCGAGAAATCGCACAATGTATTTGCATTGGACAGATCTGCACAAGACGTCTTTAAAGTCCCAGATGTCACTTTGAGGGCTAAAGTGGGTGTGTCCCAAGGCATGATATCTTAAATATGCATTCCAAAGCTGGACCGTGAACACAGAAGACAAGAATAATTGATGCCTTTAGATTATGGCTTTGATAAGAATATTGAAAGTATCAGAAGAACAAACAAATTTGAAGAGGAAGTACAGCTAGAAAGCGCCTTAGAGAGGAGAGGTGAAATTCCATGTCATGTGCGTTAGACGTCCCTGGAAAAGGATTGTTCCTGGTAGGTAGGAGGAGCCTGCCTGAGATGGACTGACACAGTGGCTGCGACAGTGGCCTCAAACGTAACAGCTGTGAGGATGGAGCAGGGCCCGGCAGGGCTTGGTTCTGTTGTCCACAGGGTTGCTGTGACTCCAGTGCCCAACAGCATCGAGCTCAACTCATGCTATCTCGTTTAGGAAACTTGCGCATTCCATCCTAGCGGAATCATGTCCAAGGGCAGTTGTTTTACTAAAATGATGAGATCCTATGTCTGGCTTTGCGTGGGTCAGGTTTCCCCTGGGAAACAATCCACTGACTTAATACTGCCCATTCTTTTAAAATGTTTGATGGTCCCATTCTGTTATTTTAATTGCTCTCAGAGTTCGTTTAGTGCGCTACAATGCACCCCATTTTTCTTTGAGAAAATATGTCAGCTTTCCAATCCTCCCATTTTTAAATACTTGTTTAACTCATCAGACTGTGAAATGACCAAGCCAGCAACTCTGTCAGGGTCTTAGCCTGGCATCTAGCAAGCCCTTAAATTCTTATTCCTTCTGGGTCTGAAGACTTTGGCTAATTCTAAACAAATTAGTAAAGGTGTGTGTGGCACATAACACAACAACAACAAAAAACAGATTTGCTGGGCTTCTCCATACCAGGAACAGATCTAAGCACGTTGACCTCCGTTACCTCTATTTCTTAAGACGTCAGCGTTCCCGTTATGATACTTCTCGCAGGCTTACCAAGTGTAAAGGTGGTCGTCTGTGATGAGAAGCATGAAAGCACCTAGGTGGCACACACTGATAACTTGTCAGTGGGCGAAGACTGTCTTGTCATCTGCCTCCCCAGCAGCAGGCCTGAATTCTCCACTCCATTCCTGCAGCCAGTTTACCTCCCTAGCCCCATTCTGAAGGATTCCAGTCATTCCAGCCCAGGTTTTGTGTCTGTCTTATCTCAGGGCTCCTGTCCTCACTTGCCTTGTAGCGATCTTCCCCTTTTTGTCTTCAGGGGAAATTTTGAAATTGGATGGTAAGAGTTTTGTATGTAATATCTCCAGTAAGCGTTCAGTCATATTCTTAGTCATTTTGGCCTTGGTTTTTCATCTCTCTTTCTCTGAGATCTTGAAATGTGCCCGTTAGACTTGAAGCAGCTATGTTTACAATCACTCTCTTTCTCCCCTCCATTCGCTGTTACTTCCATTTTTTCCACCAACGTTGTGGAGCTCCGTTGTCCTACAGCCTTCAAGACAACCAGGTTCCTCTGTGCCCGGATACTCATGGGTGTTCCACATGAACCACGCTCTCTTCAAGAGCATCCGTTTTTCAGTCCTGTGAGGGCTTCTTGCATATTTATTTACTTTTCTTTCAAAGCAAAGCAAAGATGCTGGTAGATTTTGCCATCAAGGCGTTTTGCCTACAGGTGACCCAGAACCAAAATCCCATGTCCTGGCAAGCAGTGCTCCTACAGGCAGCGTCAGCTGTGGGGAGGCTGATGGAGGGCAGGCATGGGGCAGGGGGTATGCAGTGCCCAGTCCCCAGCGGGTGCTCAGCAATCCTGATGGCTGCTTGTTTCTCGCCCTGCAGTGTGGGCCAAGCTGAAGCTGCAGAAGGCCTCCGAGCGGTGGCAGCCCGACACTGAGGTGGGTGCCAATTGGGGTGAGGGTGCTGGGACACTGGCCGTGATAGCTCCGAGTGATGGAGCGCTTTCACCATGGAGCAGGGGAGAGAAGATGCGGCCTTGATCATAGGGGACGCTGGTGTGGGCTGACGGTGCCAGTAGCCTGGCTGTTGACACGTGAGCCGCATTTCCCCTGATACTTAGTGTGTCAGTAGACGGCGGGTTGTCTCGCCCTCCTGAAACGTCTCTGGAGGTAATCAGGAGTGCCCGGGCTAGGGCCCTTCTGGTGCTGGAGGGGCAGCTGCTGTGAGCAGACGCTCTGCGGGAGGGGCTGGGATGGCTTCCTTAGCATCCTGGACAGCAGGTTCGGAGACGGAGGCTGATGTGCCCCGTCACCCTGAAGCCCAGGCATGGACACCGGGTTCCCCTCCCTGAGGTCAGTGGCTTCCAGCAGCAGACCCTTGGCCAACACTGATGTGGAGTGGAATTCAACAGAAGGGAGGCTGAAGCAGAGTTGGTCTGTGGGGAAGCCCAGTCTCTTGGCTTCCCCATCCACCTCTTGAGCAGAAACTTGGAAATTGTTGGAAAAGTGTCTTGATCGGCCTTTCTCAACTACGGTTCCTCATCTGAAACACAGGCCGTTGGGATAGACTGTTTTTCCCCAAATCTTCCAAGGATGGGGTCATAACATCCCTATTGGGGTTTAGGTCCCTGGGAGAGAGACCCCTTGCATGGTGGCTGCCTCAGAGCAGTAGAGCTTGGCTCTCCTGCAGTGGGAACCCCAGTTGAGAAGGGCGGTCTTCGATGAGCCCCAGTCTTGCAGAGCCGCGATGAGCTCAGGTGGCCAGGTGTCGCTTCCCAGCATTTCCCCGGGTGTGGCTGACGACGTGTCCCCTTCCTTTGTAGGAAGAGTACGAAGACTCCAGTGGGAACGTGGTGAATAAGAAGACGTACGAGGATCTGAAGCGACAAGGACTGCTCTGACGGGGTTTCCCTGGGTTTTTATTACAAACGATTCTGTCAACAATACAACCAGCATTTGTTCTGAATGAGTCTTGTCTGAAGCTCAGTCACGGGGCAGATTCCACACTCCCGTTCCCTTCCATCCGGACCCCACCTGCTGCACGTCTCCAACATCCGGGCAGCTAAGGGCTGAGGAGCACCTTTCTGCTCCATGTTAGGCCCGTTTGACTGAGCTTAGCCCCCCTCCCGCCCCATGTGCCTCCATTTCCCACGGGAGCACAGGCTGGCTTAGCCTGCCAACTCGGAGCAGCTTCAGCTGCTGGCTGCTTCCCGAGGACCACGTGTGTCTGCCTGTTTCCTCTACACAGTCCTTATGTGGCTTCCTGGGTCTTGTCAGGTCAGTTTCTACTCATAGCAACCCCATGGGGAGTAGAAAGGACCCCTCCGTAAGCTTCCAAGGCTGTAACCTGCGTGGACGCTGATGCCCCTTCCTTGTCCAGTGGAGTGGCTGGTGGGCGTCATCGCCTGCAGGAAGGCTTGCACCAACAGGGCTGTGTTTGACTGTAGAAGCGGCGAATACTCTTGGGTTCCCCAAGACCTGGGTGAAGCTGAGCAGCCGCCTCAGCACCTGAATGCAGTAGCCCAAATGGACGGAACTGGAGGAGGAGCCCCGGGGTCCCTGACTGGCCCACAGGCACCGTGGCCAGAGCCTTGCTCCAGAACAAGATTTCCCAGGACCTGCTGGTCCCAGTCAGCCTTCACACCTTCAGCATCTTTGTTGTTTTCGTTAGGGACACCAGTAGCTGTTTGTATAGATGGGTGGATATCTCTTTGTAAACAGCGCGGCTCCATCAGACACATCTACTGTTCTTGTCATCTCCAGGGCAGTAGGGTTGACTGCCCTGTCTCTGTGGCATTTCCATGTCTTCCCGGCTCTGCCCATCCCCAGGGCAACACCTCTGGGGTGTGTCTGTAGTTTGGCCCCTCTATTATTAAAACCCCAGTTGGACAACCTCTCCAGGGCTTGAGCTTCCGAAACAGAGTGAGTGGAAACATTAAGCCCAAACGAACCTCTGGACACTTTTTTAATGGTGAAATGGGGAGTTTACAGAGTAGATAGATGAGTTTTCTATTCCATTCATACACAGTTTGTTGCCTCGCCCTGACTGCCATTCCTACAGTGTCATCGGTCACTTCCTCCTTGTCTTTCCGGTTTCCATTCCTCCTTGGCTAAGCCTTTAGAACGTTGGTGTGCGTGGTTTTTGTTTTTTCATGAACTTTGTCCTTGAGCCCGTGCAGCCCATTTGATCTCAAATGGTTGACAATTCTAAGGTGTGTGTCCCTCCCTAGCGTGTTATCGACCCCCTATAAGATCTGCCTATGATCTGGCTGAAGTTAAGCCGTGGATGTGCGTTCATTTCTAGCCCTGAAGAGCGCTTAAGGGCCATCGGCTCGGAGTATCGCTAGTCTAGCTAACCAGTTAATCCCAGAAGCTCACTGCTGTCAAGTGGACTCTGGCTCTAAGGTTTCTGGGACTAAAACTGGATAGAGTAGACAGTTTCTTCTTTGTCCTGATGAGCGGTTCTGGTTCACAGCCCCATGCTTATTCAGCAGTGCATCAGAGCAGCGAGCCTGGGCTCTTTTACAACTTTGAGTCTTGTTACACATTGTCCCCCCACTCCATTCAGAACCTGCAAAGGTGGTCCCTTTAAGAACAGTTGGTGGTGGTGGCTGGGCGCCTTCAAGTTCTGGTCTCAGGCTGATGCTGGTGTAGTCCATGAGACGACTGGAATGATTGTTCCCACGTGTCTTGAATTCTCTTCACTCTGCTTTCCTCTGGTCAGGGAGAAACCAGGAGCTGGCATCTGAGATGACGATCACAAGCTTTTAAAGCCCCGGACCCTACTTCCCGAAGTAGGATGTTGGCTAAGACACTGGCTCCTTGGACTGTTAACGCCAATTGACTTTGATTTTCCAAGAGACCATGATCCTGAGCCCCAAGTCCACTGACTCCTTTCCTGAAGGAGCTGATTCTATCTAGAAGTTTTCCTAATGTTGCCCCCTGTAGACTCCTTCACAAGGATTGCCCTGGTGGCTTAGTGGATCACACATTGAACTGCTACAAACTGCAAAGTTAGTAGTTCGAAGCCAACAACCACTGCAAGGGAGATCATGAGGCAGTCTACTTCCCTAACAACAACAACAAAATTGCAGCCTTGGAAAACCAAAAGGGCACTTCAGTGTCTTATAAATCACTATGAATCAGATTTGACTTGATGGTAGTGGGGTACTTTTTGGTTTGAGATTTAAGGTTTTTTTTTAATTCCATCACGTTCAAGGATTTATTTGCATTCAAAAGTAAATGCACATGTACAAATAGCACATCCACGCTCTATGTTCCTGAGTATACGCCCACCCTCCCTGTCACACCCAGTGAGCCTTGGTGCCCATCTTTCCGAAGCCCTGCTGGTGCAGTGGTGACGCGCTGGGCTCCAACCCACCTGGTGGGCAGTTGGGAACTACCAGCAGCTCCCCAGAGAAAGACGACCATGAACAGTGACTGTCTTGGAAATCCGCAGGGGGCCTCTGAGTCAGCACTGACGCGATGGCAGGGCGTTTGGTTGGTGTTTCAGGTCTGTCTGTCTGAGCTTCTGTCTACCTCGGGGAGGACAGTGTAGGTATGGGACAGTGGAGCTCTGATGCCGTCAACACTTGCATTCTTACCCATGTCTTTGCCTCCTAAGTGGTTGCTGCCCTCAATCTTATTGCATATTGCTTTCCCTTCACCCAAGTGTGCTAGTCTGGGTGGACTAGAGAAACAAATTCATAGACACTCATGGGTGTCTAAGAAAGAGCTTGATATACAAGAACAATTGTATATTGAGAAAACAGCCCAGCCCAGTCCAGATCAAGTCCATAAGTCTGATAATAGCCCATATGTCTAACACCAGTCTATAAATTCCTCTTCAGGGGTGACAGAGGATGATGTAAAATATGAAAATAATAATCTATAACTTCAAGGGTTCGAGAGGGAGGGAGAAGAAACGGGGCTGATATGAGGGGCTCAATTGAGAAGAGAATGCTTTGATAATGATGGCAGCATATGTGGAAATGTGCTTCACACAATGGATGAGTGTATGGATGGTGATAAAAGATGTAAGAGCCCTCCAAAAACATATTTAATAAAATATTTCCTCTTCAGACTGACGCAGCACATCCAATAATGCCAAATGCAGGAAGATCACCAGCCAGTAAGTGGAAAGTCTTGTGGATCCAGTGGTGATAGAAGCATCTTAGTGCTGGCATGGGTCTCCACATGGCTCCTCCAGCTCCAAGGCTCTGACTCCTTCAGCGTAGCTCCATGTGTCTTAACAGGAATGTCTCAAAGGGTGAGGGGTGTGTATCTGACCTCCAGTCAGCTATTTATCTCGGTTGCACCTCCAAATGGGTTCATCAAAGTGCGACTTGATTGACAGGCTAGACTCCACCCCTTTGCAAGCTCACAGGAGAGTCTGTAACTGCCACACCAAGTTAGCACGCGTTGACCCTCTAGCCAGTGGTCTAGCCTCCCTTCCTGTCCCGTCTCTACTACCCATCAAAGTCTTCCTTTTAGCGTGGAAACCTTTTCTGGGCTTTTCACAGTAGTGGTCTCATGCAGCATTTGCCCCTTTCTTTGTTGTTTGCTTGCTTTTAGTGTTTGCCCTTTGTTATTAACCTCTTTCACTCAGTATAATGTCCTCCAGGTTTATCCATCTGCGTGGTGGAAGTGTTGTGCAGATTCCTCTTTCTTGTTCAGTGTTGCATGGTTGTCCAAAGAGTGCACCTCATAGTTTAGTTCTCCATTCTTCCATTGGTCAAAACAGTGATTACCAACAAGATGCAAAGAGACATTGCCATTTGGGAAGCAGAGCCTTGGAAATGCTGGATGTTGGTGCAGTAGCAGCATTGAAAACGCCAAGAAGGGCAGTCGTTGCTTCCTGGCAGACACTCCTCAGTGGCCTCTCTCGAGGGGAAGGCACCAGGGACTTCATGATGAATCGATGGCCCAAACATCGGCTCTTTTTAAAAAGTGAGTTTGTTTAGTTTCTGTGACTTCACCGGCACATAAGTCGTACAGATATGGCGCATTCTCGTTCCTGCCGTCACGTTCAGAAGCACTGAGCAACCATCCCTGCAGTCAGTGCCAGGCTGTTCCTTCCACCTCACACTCATTGGTGGTAGCTCCCCATTTCCTGTCAGGCCCCTTTGAGTCTCTTAACCCAGTTGTTGTCTCTCTAGGCATACCTGTCCTGGGTTTTATATACAGAAGTAGATGACAAAGCAGATCGTATCGAGGGTGTCAATGCCAAGGTGTCCCATATGACCTAAGTACAACTACAGTGTCCTCAGTCTGATAATGAGGCCTTTCCCATCTCTGGCCCACACTCGGGGGATTCACCAAAGGCTTAATCCATACGGGGACCCTGCCGATGGGTATTTGGCCTCCACTGTCATCCAGAGCCTTCTGAAAACCAGGTGTTCAGAATTTAAGCTCCAAGACTATTCCTGCCTCCAGGTTTACATTTTATTGTGTATCCCTCTTGGATCATACATGCTGGTGTGCTTCTTCCCTGTGGACTTAACCAACACCTTATTTAGAGCGCTGCTTGTTTTAAGACCTCAGAAACTATTCTTTCTGATAGCCCGGCACCATCTGATTTTTCCACATGTTGCTGCAGTACCCATGTCTTTAGTGATCACTTTATGGGGCAGGAGCCTAGTCTGTAAGTTGTGGAGAGGGGACAAGGGCTGAGGGGTCTTGTTATCAGTCCTGCCCCGAAGCCTGACGAGTAACTGTCAGCATTCCTGAGAGCTTTGCCCCTGAACAGCCTTGGGAGCACCTGGAGCTTGACCTGCCCTGATGAAGGCTTCTCTCGCTCCTGTTTACAGTCGCCCATTCTCCTATTCTCTTGAGACTGTCCACGTACAAGACACAGAGCCCTGCGGACGCACCGAGCAGCCGAGCACGAGGTCAGCAGCTTGAAACCACCAGCGGCTCCGTGGGAGAAAGATAGGCTTTCTACTCCTGTAAAGACTCACAGGCAGT